AAAAAAAAAAAAAAAAAAAAAGTTTTGATGTTTGAGAATAAATGGATAGTTTCTCAACTTAATGTCCTTATATATTCCTTCATGTCAAAAATCTTATTGGAATACAAAGCAGAGGTGTCAAAGGAAAATATGTTTATGTGATACTTTTTGCTCAGCCAGCAACAGGTACTGCTGAAWACCTGACCTCAAAAATGGCTCTCATGACATTTGTACCTCTGGGGGTTGGAGTTCTGACAGTGGAGATGAGGTTCAGCCTCRTATTTCAGGATGGCAGAACTCTGCCACCACAGCAGGCACTGAAAGTTTGTGATCATTATTCATTTATGGGTCCAAGGAAGAGGGAGGATGAGGAGAGCTAAGGAGAGCACCTTGTCCTTTTGCCTCTTCCATGGGAACCAAGCACTTTGAAAGAAAGCAGGATGGAGGAAGTCATAGAATTAAACAGCTGAATTACAGAAGTCACTGCCCGCCCTGCATTTACAAAGTGTCTCCACTAAAGGCCTTTGCCACTAATTCAGTGAATCATTTTCCCCACTGAACTTGGAAAATAACTCTTCATCAGCGCCATACTGACTTCTTTTCTGAAAAAAAAAAATCAAACTGGTGCCTTCAGCTTCTTTGAAGACCATATCTATAAATTTCCTGTCCTTCTTTGATCTCTATTTGTGGTCATTTTTCAGTGTGACACCCTCACCCTAATCCCCCCATTGGAAGCAACACAGTTGTCTTCCACTTTTGGGTAAAACACCAATTATGTCAGCTTTGTCCTCCTTATCCATGATTAATTTCTCTGTTTTTGCCTTTCATCTAGTGCACTTCTAAACACTCTTGTTTCATTAAATTTCTCACAATTTGCTTGTTCCACATTTTGCACCCGGTTTCATGCCTGTTTTCCTGTTTCTTCCACACTGATATCCTCTAGGATTTATGTTTACAGAAACCTTTTGCTTTGGTATTTTAGTGAGGTTTGATATCTCAKCCTGTTAGATAAACAGCTTCATTAGTTTATTACATGTGTCCTATTTCCACCCTGCACTGGGATAAACTATCATTTTCCTTTCRATACAAGATTCTGAGGAAACGTTTTCCACACTCATTTGTCCCTTGGATTATCTGCCCAAGAGACTCCACCTACCACTTCCTTGAGGTTGAAGTGGTCTCACCTTTTCAGCCATTTTGCTGCATTCACTTCTTTCATTYTGGGAAAAGTGAGTGCTCATGTTTTGGCGACTGATCACCCAATTTTCCTTCTTTTATTTCCTATTAAAGCAGCATCGCTGTGAGTGTAGCATCAAATCACGTGCATTTCTCCCACGTGTTGGAGCTCAAACTTAGAAGAGAGGTCTCCTGTTTCAGATCTTTCTATTGATGCTGGACACACAAATGGTGAAAATGAACACTCCCCAGTGAGGAAAATGAGGCTCTAAACCACACTTAGGAGGTAAGACAGTGCATAAAAAACATCAGCACAACCATGACAGTGACACAGTCATGACCACATCACAAGCAGGAGAAAACAATTCCTAAAGGGCAGAAATTCTCAGCACAGCACACCAAGAGCATCGTCCTTCCCGGATGTGAGCCCTCAAAGCTGGAAGCTTTTGTGCTTTACACAAAACACTCTTTTTATAAAGGCATGACAATTCCTGTCCTTCTGTTCCTTTTCAGGAAATTCTCCTCCTGCAACCCTCCAGACCCATGAACACTGGACTGTTTCCCAGGGTCTAACTTTCTTCTTCTGAAGGAAAAGGACAACTACAACACTTGCTCTCTTCATTAATGCAATATCTGCTTGACATTATAAGTAATATTAAAGATTAAAATATATAATTTAAAGTTTGGTGTCAGTTTATCACATGAAGGTCACATTATTAAAATATCAATGCCCTGTGGAGGAAGAAGTTGGGTGATCTGACRCTGTCACAGTCTTTATACAATGGCCTTGGCAAGTTAGCCAAGGTTATTCTTGCAATTTGAGCAGGTCACCATAACTGACCAATAAGAACGTTTCCAGAAAGAAAATATCTCATAACTGTCTGAACTTTCTTGGCCTACTTGCCCCTCATCATGTGAATACTTGCAGTGTGGCAAAAGAATATAATTTCCTCTCCTCTTTTGCAGTGAAAGCTTTCAAGAGACCACAGAGGAACCTTCTGCCATTTCATTTACCATGACAGATTTGCAGCTACCCAAAAGATGATAATCTGCAAAACCTCCTGCACACATCTTCCCCATTTAACAGTTATCTGATCAGCCACTGAATACAAGAGCAAAATAACCTYTATATTTTGCTCATGAAGAAATGAAGCATTACTAGGGACATTTGAAAAGCTGTAACAGAAAAAAACCCAACAGATGGGGGTCAAGGAGGAGGGAGAGAACTTTTAGCTCATTTACTCTAGCTCTGGTGAGATAACAACACCCCCAAATTAGGAATGCCTTAAACTGTAAAAGGCTAACAAAGGGGATGCAGTTCAATGCCTCTTTGCTATCAAAGAAGATTTCATCGGCAGAAATTCCCGTGCTGAGACACCTATCTTGTGTGAAACTGTAGCACCCAAAATATCCAGCCTTAAAAGGTCATGCTTATTTAAAAATAGCTCGCTTGCATTTTACATGAAAGTTAATTTACTACACTTATAAAATTAAATGCAAATGTATACAAATAATTTAAGCATGCTGTCAAAGTTCACACATACACACTGCTAGAGCAACGGCAACATTCAAGGTCATACGAAATCTTTCTTAACCCACGTTTYACCCTGTGGATTATTCTGTTAAATAGATATTGAACTAAAATGCTTGCACTTTCTCTTTAGCAATGTCTACCCTTGTTAAAAAAAAATAAAATAAAAAAAAAAGAATCAAAGCTTTAATTTCCTATTGATCATGTGGTTTGCAGGCCATAACAAAGAAGGATACTGTACCTCTGATGCTGGTGGCTGATGCCGATGTGGTTGTGCTGGCTGTTAAGGCTACATTGGTTGTGACTGTTGCAGTGGTAGGGGAGGGGATGACAGTAGTGGGAAGCAAAGTGTTGAAAACATCTGGTGAGTGGAAAAAAAAAAACAAAAACGAAATAAAATCATATCATGCAAACAAAGGAGMACCAAAACAGTGGTTTAATTTGTAAATACAAGCATGTTGAAAATGGCTAAATTAAAACATGATTAACACAAATTATTGCAGGTACAACAGAGTACCTTGAAATTCTTGACATTCATCACTCTCAATTTTTACAGTCAATCTTTGAATACACAAAAATTTAAAACTCTGTTAAAATGACCAAGTTTCCATGGAACTAGAGAGTGATAGTTTAAGTGACAAGAATCCATTTCTTCGCTGAGCCATTTTAAATGTCTCGCACAGTAAAAACCATACACAGATGAAACATGCTGTGTCAGAGTGGGAGATGAAAAAAACAACACCATCATGCTAAAATAAACACACACATGTTAACAGGAAATGGCTGCATGTTAAAACACCCACTTTCAGACAGACTCAATGAAGGGAAAAAAGGGGAGAAAATGCTACTAACTATAAGAGCTGCTTTTTCCGGACTGCTTTTCTTCTTCCCACACATTTGCTTAAGACACAGTTGWCTGCTAAGATCCAGAGCAGAGTATATTTCAAAATCTTTACCCTGATTAGCAGGCACAGTCATCTTTCAGTCATCCTTAAYGCTTACAATTTATTGTTAGTACACATCAGCATTTTCCTAAAACAGCTTTGAACCAAAAATCAGAAATGCTAATAATATTACTAATAAAAAAGTGTGCATACAAGTCAGAAAAAATGCATATCCCTGATGACAGTATCSTATAAAACCCTTCAGCTTTTGATCCAGCAATGGGGATGGGGAGCACGACTGCTTTGCTGCAGAGGAACCAACAATGTCTGGTGCAGAGGCTCCAGCAGAGAGCAGAACACAATCAGATGTACTCACAGAAAAAATACTTTGGTYATGCTGCCAAAAGCAATAAAGGCCAATGGGACTTTGCTTATAGGGTGATTGCAGGTTCTAAAGAACAAACAAACAAAAGCTCTGAAGAGAACTAGAGGAAAGCACTTCCACAAAGACATAAAAAGCATCCGACATTTTTCAGATTATTTATACCATGGATTTGAAAGGCAAGGACTCATTTCTCAGCAGGTGATGGTGAGTAGGCCATTTCACACTGATTTCACTGAAAATATTTCKGAAGGGTGCTATTCAGTGCAGCAAAAGAGCAAAAATCTGACCCACAATCTGTCTTCCCTGGCTGTRGAGCAAAATGCAATTGGTCCCTGAGTATCATCAATTCTGACTGAAATCAATGGAAGCTGAAGTAGCTCAGAGGTTTTCAGCATCAGGTCCTACAAAACACACTTCAGACAAAGGGTCCTTGAGTTCRCCATTGCATAATTACTCTCTTACGGCTTCAAAGTAGCGCGCTTACCTTATTTTCATGATGGACGACAGATTATTTCCAAGTTTAAAATTCTCCGTGTTAGTTAATATCRGTAAATCACCTAAAATTTCCTGAGTTCCTCTAGTTTTGATAAAAACCACCATTAGGCTCTCTGGAATCTATAGTTGTGTGATTTTCTACTTCTGAAGCCATCAGAAAACATCATAACATCCCTCTTTCATCTGCTGTACACTGATATTTAACCCAATTCTCAGCGTAAAATATTCTCAAGGCAGAAAAATTAGAGCAGGCTTTTAAAAATCCCCACAGTTGTAGTCACATTAATCACCAGGAAAAATGATAATATTACCTGGAGTGAGAGTACCACAATAATTAAATAGAACTGAGTATAACAAGCATTAGAAATAAATTAACATGTTTAAAAGATGCATGTCACATGTACTGATCTATTCAATTTCTTCTCATAAAAGAAAAAACCTTCCCTGATAAGTATCTGTTAAAAATAAAATAAAAAAAAAAAAAAAAAAAAAAAAAAAAAAAACCAAAACCCCACCTACTTCATAAGGAGAGCAAAACCCTGTTTATTAGGAAAGCTTTGCAAATCACTCTTGTACGTAGAGCTAATTAGTGTGACTCATGGTTCCATTCATTATCTTTCTTAAATACACCAATTACTTGAGACTGCAATGRCAAGTTGTGGTTTTATGACAGTGCTATCCAGTCTGCAAGCACACTGTTTACCCATTTTACCAAATAACAGCTTTCATGAGTCACTGGTGAATTCAGAACCTGACTGCTTTTTGGTTTCTCTTCTGATGGAAGCATTTCAAACTTGATTTATTTTAAATGGAAGGCCACCTGGGAAACATTCCAGCTAACGAGAACTAGGATATGTCAGCATTTTAATACAGATGTGATCTCATCAGATTAAGAAGAACAAAAACTTGTGCAGAAGTTAGTTTCCTGATAAAAGTCATAAACTCTGATGCCAAACMTGAAAATGGAAGCCTGACAGAAGCCTGAAAAGAAAACATCTGCTCTCAAAAGGGATGGAAATACAAGGAATAGTATTTGGTTTGTTTTTCTTTGTAGAGTGGGGTGAAATTCTCTGTGCAAATGAGTGCTTTGCTCCCAGCATTCCAAGGACTTGTCCTGAAGACCACAGCACAAGAGAGAAGCCAGGAACCAGCAGCCTGAGGACCACTACACTGCCCAAAAAATGAAATCTGAGCCTGTTCTGGACTCTGGAAATGTTTGGTTTGTGCCAGCTCAGGTTCAAGACTCTGCCCAGTGGAATTACTCCACTAACAACAAGTAACCAAACAGCTCACAGCTGTCCAGACAATGCTTTTTGGAATGCTTGGACCATATCTCATYACTAAATCCTACTTTGGACAGCCCAGATCCAGACATAGCATTCTGAAATGATCCCCACACTGAAAAGACTTGTGTGTATGGTKCCTTCTGAGTCTGACAGAAAGACTCCTGTCAGTTCTGCCAAGATTTCTGGATTCTCATGACTACTTCGTCTTTGCCTTGAAAAGGCATTTGCATAGGAGAATACAGAATATGCAGTTCAGAAAAAAAAAAAAAAAAAAAAAAAAAAAAAAAAAACCAAACAAAAAACCCCAGAAGTAATGTACAGTGCTTCTCAGTCTTTCATCATGCATTGCAGTGTAGGAGGCAAATGGGTTTGGAAGTTCCCAAAATCACACAGACAACAGATAAAAAAAAATGATACTTAACAGCACAGGCTTCTGTTTAAGCCACATTGATCACTATGAGAGTCTGCTGCTCCATTCCATGTCAGAAAAGGGAATTACACTTTGCCCTGTTTCTAGTCCTGCAGGAATTTTGGTCATTTTTTTTTTTTAATTCAGGGCAAACCTGTCCTATATCACATTGTCATCCACAGCTCCCTGGTGGCAGCTGCYCAGAACACGCCATCAAAGGGAATATCTAGATTTGTCCTCTTGAGCTTTCTGTCAGCGAGGATCTTAACAGAACAGATTTGCAGATTTCTGCCCAAGAAACCTGTGCTGGGGTGAAACTTAATTCCATTTCCTTGTCTTGCAATTTCTGATTCCAGTTGTGCACAATGTTCAGCTGAAAATGAAATTTTGTTTATGACTCTCATGCCACTAAATACCAAGGATCACTATGACCAGGAGACCTTGCAGAGAGGAAGTTTTTAATTTGAGTAGCCATACCCAAATCAGTGCACCAGATTGCTATTTCAATAATACTRAAGTATTAATCCCTAGCCTCCTGTGAAGCAGAAAATAGCAATATTTTGCAGATGGGGAACCAAAGAAGATAAAAAAGCCATGCTCAGGGATCTAGAAGCCAAGCGATAATTGCCTCCATTAATTTTGAAACCTCACTTCCAAACTGGATATTTGCTGACAGTCAGATATTCAGTCAAAAATCCAATAATGTAATTAAGTTGGTATTAATGTCATCATCTTGCTAGCTTTGAAATGCAAACAATTCATGGAGAACTAATTGTTTCCAAAAAAGCTGCTGGAAATAGAAATGGGGTTGACCTTCACACCAAGGGACTCCCATGGATTCGGTTCCCAACTTTTTGGCGCTTGTGTTCCTCAGGTTATACAGGTGAGGCTCAAACTGGATATTCAGTAGGAGAGATGGGCTCCTGCACTCTCTCTGGGGGCAGAGGGAGGTTTGAGCTGAGCTGGAAATGCTCAGCCAAGAGCCCTCTTTTCAGTGAGGTCCTAACCCCATGTCAGAGCTCAGCGCATGCAGAGCAGAGATTGGGGAAAGGTTTTCACCTCTGGGAAGGTGCTCACGGCCACTGCTGCTGTCACCCTGCCACCAGCTGGAGCCAGCTGGAAATCTGAAGGCTGATTCCCAGTGGATGGTGGAAAAAGGAGAAACACCCAGACTGGGTTTGGAGTGGAGGCTGCTCTTCAGCAGAGATTGGTTCAAAGCAGCGTTGAGCCCAACCTGATCAAAATTTCCCCTTTGCTTCTCCTTCTGTCTCGAATTGATGCTGCCTTCTCCTTGTCGAGGCAGAAGACATCCATCCGTTTAAGTGCAGGCAGCCTGGATAATTTACTCTCCCTGCCAATTTGGCCCTAAGCATTTTTACTCTCCATTTCCAAAGAAATGAGAAATGGTTCTGTTTGGTTTAGCAGGCTTATGTGAAAGATAGATCTGACCTATTGAAAATATTTGACTTTTTTTTTGGTAAAAACACAACCGATATTTTGACATGACTGAGCACAAATCAGACAACAATAGCCGCAGTTGATAAAAATGTAAAGGCTTTTGTTTCAAGCCTGACAAAGGCTGACAGAAAAATTAAAGAACAGAGTGATAATGATGGATGGTCCTTGCTGTATTTTGACTGAGAATGAAAGAAATTTTAAGTGGTAAACTGAACTGAGTGATGACCTACCTGGGAAACAATCTCACTACTTTGTGAAAAATTTAATCAGCCTGTGGTATGTAGCACTAAATAATTTAGCAAGGTTTTTGAATTCAAAGGGAGCTGCATTTACCTTGCTCCAAGAAAATGGGATTGAACAAAAGGATCGCTCAGCTTGAACATCATGTGCCAATAGCTCCTTAGCACTTAGACTGAATGATGGTGAATGCTCATGGACATGAGG